ATGCGTTCTTGCCAACCACCGCACGTGGTGCGTGGTAAAGTTGGACAATTTTTAAGAACCCAAAAATTACAACCTCAATAACGGCACAACGGTTGGGCCGATTGATTTAAAACTCGGTACACAGTTAGGTCTCCATCAGATAATTCATCTGCATGTGTTAAGGTTGGGGTGCTACAGCACGTGCGCACGTGCAGGGGGCGCTCCCAGATCTCGAGAACGGCTGGGCCGATTGCGCTCACATTTGGTACACGGTTGGGGACCAGTTAGTAGGGTGCCGTGCAAAAGTCAGTTTGGACCCCGCTTGCACGTGCGCACGTACAGAATGCCGCTTCCAGATCTCAGGAACGGCTGGGCCGGTTGCGTTCAAATTTGGCACACCGCTAGCGACCGGCTAGAAGGGTGCTTTGCACAAGCCCGTTGGAAGTACCCTCTCGCCCTTGCGCACGTGCAGGGCTCACTATCTCGCTCGCTCGTTCTTCGCCCAAAAGGCGTTTTACTGGTGTGTTACAGATGTGGTGGACCGACTGCACGTGTACACGTGAGGTGACAGGGTCAGCTTCTCCATCTAAGAAACGGCTGGGTCGATGTCGCTCAAATTTTGCACACTGTTGGGAACCATTTAGACAGGTGGCTGGCGCAAGTCATCTGGAGTTTCAACTAGCGTGTACGCACGTGTAGGGACCGCTTTTATATCTCAAGAACTAAGAAGCCGATTGCACTCAAATTTGGAACACCGCTTCGGTCGAGTATGAAAAGAGTATGGGTAGGGTATGGGATAGTATATGTAAAGTATGATAGAGTAGGGTAGGGTAAGGTAGGGGGGGGGGGGTAGGGTATACTAGGGTAGGGTAGAGTTGGGTAGGGTAGGGTAGAGTTGGGTAGGGTAGGGTAGAGTTGGGTAGGGTAGGGTAGGGCAGGGTAGGGTAGGGTAGGGGTTTAGGTTACGTGGTGGCAGGGCTTGGGACAGGGGTAAAGTAGGGGCAGTGTATGGGAAGTGTAGAAGAGGGGTTGTGTAGGGTTAGTGTAGTGGTAGAGCTGGGTGAGTAGGAGTACGATATGGGCTGAGTAGGGTTAGGCAGGGGTTGGAGTAGGGGTATTTTTGGAGTAGGTGTAGTGCAGGAGTAAAGTAGCTTAGGGTTAAGTTAGTGTAGGAGTAGGATAGTGTAGGAGGTAGTGCAGGGATAAGTTAGCACTATTAGCATTTGCGTATGTATGCGTATGCAAACCTCTAAAACATATGCGTAAGTCACAAACCTAAACTCTAAAACCTATGCGTAAGTCGCAACAGTGGCGGATCCAGGGGGCAAAATGGGCATTTGCCCCCCCCCCCCCCAACGGCATAATTTTAACATTACGCCTATAAACGATGCATGGAAAGAATCGATAAATTGTTATGGTTTGCCCCCCCCCCCCAAAAAAAGCTCTGAGCTGGATCTGCCTCTGAGTCACAAACCTGTATTCTAGTCCCCCTATATTATAAATTTGAAGTTGTCGGTCACAGCCGAGACCTGTCATCGCTATTTGCGTGTCTAGCGCCGGAACGGTGCAGCGCAGCGGCATGAAATTTTGAGGGCGCATTTTCTAGGTGAATCGAAACATCGTATTAAAATTTGGTTGCCATCCGCCGACGGAGACGTCGTCGGCAGCGTCTTAAAAAAGAGGTACGATCGCCATTGGTTTAACATTAGGCGCGGAAAACGGCGACCGTCCGAAAAAACGGTTCGACTCTTTTGCGTATATCTCGGGAACGGAGGGTCCCAGCGACACGGGGTTACCACCGATCGATAGAGCGGAAACAGACCTGGCGTATGCAACACATAGTTTCGTAAAACAATCACCACACGCAAAGAAATGGCCTATAAACTTGAAAAATGGGCCGTTTTTTATACTTTTCAGGAAATGCATTGGCATTTGAAAACGGTGCATTTGATCGACACGGGATGCAGTTCACGGACTACAATAGGATCGGACCTTTTCAGAAAACATAGATTTTCGGCCATTCACTCACGCATCTTTATAATTAAGCGCTTACAATTTGCAAGTTTTACGTTTACACGGTATGATCATCTTTACACCGTCATAATGTACTGATAACATAGACCTATGGCTATAAATCTATCATTGACTGAAAGAGCATTTTTTTCTGATCACTACACACCCAAAATATTTTCAAAAAGTCAACAAGGGCTCTAAGAAACAGCGCAATGATTGTACCGTTTTTGACGCACGTTTTCCGTCGTAGCGGCGGCGGGCATTGAACGCGGCGGCGATGAAGGGAATATCACCGTGTGCTTTCAATACGCGTAATACTTGCCGCTCGCCAACTGGCCGCGTGGCCGAGTGGGTTGGGTGTCCGGCTGGAAATCCGGAGGCGGGGAGTTCGCGACCGGCCAGTTTCGAACTTTTTCGCTCGCCTTTGTCCAAAGGTAGCATCCGGCCGGCCGGCATTTGCTAAGAGGGCCCGGTGTGCTATACATACATAGATTCACGAGGTGGCGGAACGTGACGTTATACTATTTAACGTTAGACGTATTTTCCGACAAATTCCGATCGATGGCTTATCGCCGACATGCCTTTGAACTTTTGACAATGGTCAGCACAGCAAGGCCGCAATCCACCTCTCGCCTAGGGGAATTCGAAAACAGTTAACATAAACGCTCGACAGCAAATAACATAACTTTGAAACAGCGATAACTTAGATGTCATTAGGCCGAATCCTCTGAAACTTGGATTGTCGGTAGGCAGGGCACTCACTACTCACCAGGCGATGCATGGTCATTACGAGCGAGCGAGCGCAGCGAGCGAGCGAGTTCATACTGAATTAAGGGAAAATCCTGAGTATGAGCGGCCGGCCGTGGGGACGCTCTTCAAAAGCTAATATCTTAGGAACGGGACATCCGATTGACTAGCGGTCTTCTTTACTGAATGTCACTTGGACGTAAAAGTTTTGTGGTGTGATGGCCACCATGCGTTCTTGCGAACCACCGCACGTGGCGCGTGGTAAAGTTGGACATTTTTTAGGAACCCCCAAAATTGCAACCTCAATAAGGGCACAACGGTTGGGCCGATTGATTTGAAACTCGGTACACAGTTAGGTTTCCATCAGATAATTCATCTGCATGTGTTAAAGTTGGGGTGCTACAGCACGTGCACACGTGCAGGGGGCGCTCCCAGATCTCGAGAACGGCTGGGCCGATTGCGCTCAAATTTGGTACACGGTTGGGGACCAGTTATTAGGGTGCCGTGCAAAAGTCAGTTTGAACTTTGGACCCCGCTTGCACGTGCGCACGTGCAGAATGCCGCTTCCGGATCTCAGGAACGGCTGGGCCGATTGCGTTCAAATTTGGCACACCGCTAGCGACCGGTTAGAAGGGTGCTTTGCACCAGCCCGTTGGAAGTACCCTCTCGCCCTTGCGCACGTGCAGGGCTCACTATCTCGCTCGCTCGTTCTTCGCCCAAAAGGCGTTTTACTGGTGTGTTACAGATGTGGTGGACCGACTGCACGTGTACACGTGAGGTGACAGGGTCCGCTTCTCCATCTAAGAAACGGCTGGGTCGATGTCGCTCAAATTTTGCACACTGTTGGGAACCATTTAGACAGGTGGCTAGCGCAAGTAATCTGGAGTTTCAACTAGCGTGTACGCACGTGTAGGGACCGCTTTTATATCTCAAGAACTAATAAGCCGATTGCACTCAAATTTGGAACACCGCTTCGGTGTGAAAAGAGTATGGGTAGGGTATGGGATAGTATATGTAAGGTATGATAGAGTAGGGTAGGGTAGGGTAGGGTAGGGTGGGGTGGGGTTGGGTAGGTAGGGTAGGTAGGGTAGGGTAGGGCTGGGGTTAAGTAGTGGCAGGGGTTGGGGCAGGGGTAGGGTAGGCTAGGGTAGGGTAGGGTTGAGGTTAAGTAGTGGCAGGGGTTGGGGCAGGGGTAAAGTAGCGGCAGTGTAGGGGTAGTGTAGGAAGGGGGTTAGTGTAGGGTTAGTGTAGGGGTAGAGCTGGGTTGAGTAGTGTAGGGGTAGGGGTAGGGGGAGTGGTAGGTTAGTGCAGTAGTAGGGTAGTGTAGGGATATCACAGGCGTAGGGTGTGTATTTTACTGACCTATCTACTGCGTAGGGACGACCGAATTTTCTTAAAACATACATACGTTAGTCACAAACACGTATGCGTAAGTCGCAAACCTGTATTCTAGTCGGCTATATTATAAAAGAGAAGTTGTCGGTCTGTACGTACGTCTGTCTGAAACAATCGCAAAGTGTCATCCACATCTGGGTGTCTTGCGCCGGAACGGCGCCATGTAGGAGCGTGAAATTTGGCAGTCGACAAGCGCGGTCAAATCGAACGATCGTATTAAAATCTGGGCGCAATCCGACCAGGGTTGCGTCTCTGGCGGCGTCGCGAGCACGAGCCACGCTCGCCATTGGTTTAACACGGGGCGCGAAGAATGGCGATATCGGCCGAAATCGGTGCGACGCGTGCTCCTTTCCGGGCTTATATCTTGACGACCGGTGGTCACAGCGACACTCCCATGACACCGATTTCGAGTTAGGGCGCAGTAGCTGCGCAGTCACGTGACCGCAATTTCGACAGCGCTGAAAATGGACAGGGTGTGCTGAGTTAAGACCGTGATTTTAGGGGATTTAAAAGTAAAGGTAAGCGCTACCAGTGTTGAAATAACTTAATAAAGGTAGATAAATGTCCGTTGATAACAATTAAGTCAGATCAAAACAATAGAAACCGCTGAATGAAGCATGAGGTCTTCCGGCACTTTGCCTTTTTTTCGAGTAAACTGCACAAAAAATGCACAGATCACTCACCGAGTGCGCCCATAACAAACATTGTTTTTTCCCATTTAGGCGCAACTTTCGTGGGTGCGCCCTCTATGAACATCCGGAACAGAAAACGAGATGTCGCTACTAGTGCGAACTTTCCAGAAACCGCAATCTGACGAACAAGTAGCGCGTCACCTTGATGTTTGAGCTCCTTCTTTTGTCGTTCGTGTGTGGTTGTGTGGTGCGGGTGGGTAGTCATTTGACCTGAAAAGGTAAGTAACAACAGTTGCTTTTATACTATATCTACATAAAGGGTACGTTTTGCTGGCGATAATCGTTTACACATGCTTGGCGTCGGTGCTACCGAATTCAGCTGGGCAAACTACAGGACAGGAATACAAAAATGGAGGCATCCAAAAATTGATTATTCATGCCCATAGTTGGGCATTAATGACAATGACAATGGAAAAGTGCACATTTATATAAGCATCATGAGACAGGTAGGGGAGAGTGCCCATATTGCGCCACGTTAAGCGAAACTGGCTTCAGTTTGGAATGCAAAGGCAGCACAGGTTAGTTGTTTTCACATTATATTTAAAACCTTTTTACTACATTTTTTAGACACTGATTTATCGCATACTTGTCAGACACGGTCTTTTTAGAAAGTGTTGCAAAGGGCGCAATTGTTGAATACCTTCGATAAATGCGCCCACACCATGGCGCAATTGAATTCAAATTCGCCCACCGCAAATACATGCATTAGCTATGGGCTGTAAAGATAAGATTGATAAGTAGGTAATGCGTTGTATGATGCGTCATTCTTTCATTAATTTACCATCTGTTTTTAGAAATTTTATCAGAAGTGCACAGTGGTATTAGTATATATTAGGTCTGAGTGGATAATTGTGACGCTGTTGATACAAATATGTAACAGCAAAAATTTTAGGTTTTAGGTTAGGTTAGGTTGTAGGTTTGTAGGTTTTAGGTTGTTAGGTTGTAGGTTTGTAGGTTGGTAGGTTGTAGGTAAATAGGTAAGGTTAGGTCAGGTTTGATTATGTTTTTCTTTTATTTCCAGGACATATAAGTCTCATTTTTGGATTCAGGATGTCAAATAACGTAATAATATGAAAACTTTATTTTTTAACAGTCACTCGGACTTAATGTATACTTTTACCTGCACAGTGACCTCAAATTGCTTGTTGTTTTGTCATCTGCTTAAGCCTTTCGAATATTAGCCATCATTATTAATGTTACCCATGTCATTAAAGGAAATAGTTCACTTTTAACATGGGTTTTGAACTGAAATAGCAGTTTTGTAGCTTGCGCTGAGACTAGCACAAATCATAAGCTTTTACGGCCCAACGATCACCCTAAGCAAAGATATTCAATTTTCCGTTCCAAAAAGACTGTCTTATACGGGAATGTGCTGTCTTATAAAGGAATGCAGTCACGTCATCATCAGCCAATCAGCATGCTCCTTACAGCCGAAACGAGCACAGTTTGTTGGCAACACTAAGAAACCCCAACATTTTAACAAAATTGTTACTAAAGCTCATGCTGCCTTACCTCTACCAAGGTTCCACCGGAAAAGGAAGTATGATCGAGGTGGGCAACTTTTGCAACCACCACTAGGTACTTATGGTGTACCAATTTTTCTGGAGCTTGGGAGGGCGCATTTATCTTGCGGGCACAATTAGGGTACTCTCCCCTAATCCAAGCACATTTTAGGCAGAAAAATAATGCCTGCTAATCACCTGGTTGCTTGACGTCTTGACGTCTTGACGTCTTAGTCTTTGTTGACTTCAATAATGTTGGCTTCAATAAACCTTAAAAATGTGTCATTCATGCAAGTAAGCTGATGGGCGGGGCCAGTAAGATTATTCTTACACTGATGTTGAGCTCTCCAGGTGCTAACCCTGATGGTTTTGGACGATTTGTGCAACTTTTACATAGGCCAAGTGGCTTAGTTTGTTTGTACTGAGTCTGAGACAATCATGAAATACTGCCAGATAATTTTGAGTAAAAGTATGTTTTCACATAGAATCGTTTGATATTTTGGAATCCTAGTTTGCATGTGAAGACCAACACAAAATGTTATGTGTCAGGAAACCATACTGTGGTTATTGTTAAAGGGACTGTCCCACCTTTGCATTAGTTCTGAGGAGTTGAGATAGCCAAGTTGGCGGCCAGGTTCAGAAACCACTATATATTCTGGTCGCAATATCCTCAGTTTCGTGGTTAAAGAAATTTGTTCCCTTCAATTGAAAAGTGGGCCTTAGCTAAGGCCCTATCTCTTAACACTAACGGACTCTGATGACGTCATCAAGCCCATTGACCGCGCGTTATAAAATAAAAGTCCTATATTTCAAAAACGGGTGAATCTTTTTCGGTGAAATTTGGTAGATGTTCATTTTCGCTCTTTCTGATTTACGGTACATCACTTTTATGCCAATTCATTAACTTTTTTAAGGTGGGAGGGTCCCTTTAACCCGCGCCCTGGTGGGGGGGCTATTTTTTGCCCCCCCCCCTCCAGACTTTTCAATATATCTCCAGAACCGCTGCGCCGATCGTCACCAAACTTTCAGGACCCTCCCGGGCATCAATTTTACACATTGTGACCAAAAATTTTTCCAAAGGCTGTGATAGGTTGGCCGCAAATGACGTCAGAGTGACGTCATGTTCTGCCGTTTTCGACCAAAAAAAAAAAAAAGGTTTCGCGGGAAGAGCTGTCAGGCCTATATCTTTGAAGATACAGAAAAATGTCTAAGACATAAAATGTGTAGAATTACCAGGGCTACTAAACTGCTATCTCGAAATTTTGAAATTTTTGAATTTGAACCCCCAAAAGTCAAAACATATTTTTTGAAAATATTAGTCAAAAAATCCAAAAAAGTTTTTTCGATTTTGTCCCTTTAACACCACACCCAGCCACCTCATCCAATCAGCAAGTGGCAGGTGAAGGAACCCTTAATGATGCACTGGTCCCTGAATTGCTTACTTTGATTCTTTGCAACTTTCCAGATGCCTAAGAAACCGCAGCAAGGTAGAAAGCGAAAAAGACAAGAGGTAAGGAATATTTGGCTTCACTACATTAATGTATTGCGCAAGCATGATAATTTTTTTCTTTTTGTTTCTTGGGATTGCATGCGTACCTAGTATGTAATTATATATTTTTATAGCCTTATTTTTACTGAAGTGTGCAACAAGTGGTTGCCGATGCACCTTTTGTCTGCCAGTCAGCTAATACTGCCTCAAGACATGCTTGATGTGCTTCAATGATGTTTTCTTGATATCGTTCAGCTGTTGTGATGCCTATATTTTTGTAAGTTTTTGCGGTACAAAAACTATTTTATTCCGAAAACAGACTGTGCTTGGGTTATGTACAACCAATCGAAATTGATTCAAAACCGCAACGCCCGTCCCAGTGGGTCATTGGGACGGGCCCAATCCTGAATTGGTGATGAGAATCCGGTTCAAGCCGCTCTAGCGCTTGCATCAGTGGCAGTGGCCGCGTTCCAGGTCGGGTAAAGTCCGTTAGCGTTCCGACCGTGTCTGGCTATGATGAAAATGCTCGAGTGTCGGGCATTCAAGTTATGCCATCTGCCTAGGCCCTGTTGGGTGCGACTTAAGTAGCGGTTTCTGGCGCATTAAGATTCCATGGTAACTACCTTGATGCAATGAAGATAGCCCCTACTAAATCCGGCCCCCATTGCAGAGCGTGACGCCAGCTCACAATCAACTATTATAGCCACACTGTGCACTGATCGGTTGCGGTACTTTTGCAGCATTATGTTGAAAGTTGCTAACAACGTCTTATACATGGATGCGTTACGGCGTTTTGACTGGTTTACCATTCAACTTATTTTAAGAGCATGACGAATTACCAATAAGTAATTCGTCCCGCCTGCGATAGATATGATCATCCTACGACAATCCACGTTAGTCACGACCAAGAGACTATCTCTTGGTACTCATATCCCAACCCATTCTGTCAAAGCACGATCTCTGCGATAAGACGTAAACCTCTGCACATGACCTTAAATGTGGATGATATCCGTGGTGTTATATCTGTGGTTATTTTCATTACAGTTGTTCATCGTAGACCGAATATTGGATCACCGCACCATTGTAGGCAAGAAGGAATATCTTGTCAAATGGGACGGCTACCCAAAAGAGTGAGTTTTTGTTAACACTACCTTTTAGCTAAGCTGCTTTCTGCCCTAGCATACTACTGATGATAACACCCTCATCAGTAGCCCGCGGGTGCAAAATAACCGAAGTAGCCAATGCGCTCTAAAAAACCGACAAGCACATATCAAATCAGTGGGAGAGCGCCAGACTAGTGACACAACCGGTAATCATAGCACGTTCGTTCGAGCCGTTTGGTTCCCCTTTTCTTGCTCATGGCAGTATGGCCCCTATCATGGCCCCTTTCTTGCTCATGTTAACAGGGAGATATGTCAAGTGGTGGTACTCTACCTTTACGCGAATGTGCGAGCTTCAAACATGTTTCTCCAAATGTTCCAAATGTTTCTCTGCATGTGGCAATCTTGTTACACACCTCTCGGCCGACGTTCAACTCCATTCTGTTGTGTACCCGGAATTTCCTGATCAGTGAATTGGGCAGGATGTACAACAAGCTGT